GAAATTTGCAAATTTTTATACAGACAGCAACGTTGCAATTGCTAGTAAATTAGGTTATCCCATGACAGGATTAAGATGATACAGGAACAGGATTTCATTGTTATTTGAGATTGTAAAGGAGCATGGCAGTACAGACAATATTCAACTGCAGGCTAAAAGCACATCGATGCTTTTACCATTGTATTTCACTATCCACTAAATTTTGGATGGCATTTCATTCCTCCATGTGTGTTGAACTGGTTGAAAATTAAATAAACACAATATACTTACTAAACTCTTTGGTGCGTCTTTCAGTGAGATAATTACACTATTAAAATCGGCAAGTGTGTTGATTGGCAATTTAATTGACGCTGGCAATTCTAAAGCTGGTCCAGCAACACTAGCAACAATCAAAAGTTGATTTAATTTACCATTTATTTCTCTTTGGGTTTTCTGATTGTCGTTCAATCTTTGGTTAATCTTTTCCATCATGGTAATCAATTGTAAAACATAAGTAGGGTGACCCACGCACCTACAGAAATACAGTCAACCGCTGATAGTTCGAGACTACCACTGAAGCGTGCACATTCGCCGTGTCGAGGCCAACTTTCTGACAGTATGATACTATAAATAGCCATGGCACGTGCAATTCTCTACAAATCTATCAACTATTACAGCCGTAAAAAAATTATTGTTGACGATTTTGAATAGCAGTAAAATTAAGCTTCTTGGTTATTAAAGCAGATTTAGAAATTACGTTCGTTTCATTTTTTAAATCGCTTTATCATTAACTGTACCGTTAAGAGCGGCATCTTTTGGTTTAGTACAAATAATATCTCAGAAACACTCGGGTTAGACAGGAACATGATACTAGCAGTAGTTTCATTTTACTTTTACAAGCTTCTTAAAACAATTGTTGAGCTAGCTAACGTGCTCATTTCTAAATTCAATTTCTTGTTCTAGCTTTCTGTTATGTTTCGTAAAAAAGTAGTCTTGATTATCCCGACCTGTCAATCAGCCCTAGAATGGTCGATAGACTGGTTAAGCGAGACTAATTTCAAAACAAGGGCACGTAACCTATCTTTTACTCAAAAGTGTCTGGATGTTATGGACGACACATGGAACCAGTTTTCAGTCTATTATTTATAGATGATTAATGGTCATAGCTTTTTAAGTACAACATGATCGTTTATTTAGTGACTATAATTGTGTGAAACTGATTTGAGGCTTGGCATATATATAAATATTGTGGCGAAATTGTCGAGATATATGGAGATATTTATTTATGGTGGGTCACCCTAACATAAGCTGAAACAATAAGATAACTTTGAAAATTTTTCAATTACATCTTTACCTACTTATCTACTGTTAATATGTTAAATGAAATTTGGGGTTTAACGTCCTACTTTTCTGCATCTACTGGGATAAGACAGGCATGTGATATACAATGTACCAGTAGGGACATTTTGCCCAGTGCTATAGCCTACTCTTATTCCAAATATCAACTTTCAAGGGTTCTTGTGACTTTTGTCATCCGAAGAACCAGATCCTGTTTTTTGCCAGGTACACAGAAAATTACTGGGAATTTTATGGGCCAATACCGAGATCAAACGGGGATCACGGTGGCTAAGTGGGTAAGACGCTGGCTCTCTAGCCTGGATGTCAGGTGTTCAATCCCCTCATTGGCCGAGAAAGTTCATCCAGATTTTCTTGCGTGGTTTCCCCTTGTCGGTGATGCAGGACGGAGCGTCTGACAAGGACAGCTGTCTAGTCGTTCGGATGGGACAATAAATCGAGATCCCGTGTACACATTGGCGTGCACGTAAAAGATCCCTTGGCAGTTGGAATGCGATATAATAGTAGACCGTAGCGTTGCTGCCCGGGCAAAATTTCCCTCACAGCACACTGTATGGCATATGCCCATCTTGATTAGCCCAGTTTAGGAGCAGAACAGTAGGACGTTCAACTCCATTTCATTTCCCACAAAACAATATCATAACCACTTTTTTCCAATATTTACATTATTTTCGTTCGTTAAGGTTTGTCATCGACTCCATGCGCTGACGTCACACAAAAACCTAACCAACCTCTGAAGTCTTTATACTTCCGCCTCAAAATCATGAATACCAAAAACATGACATTCAACAGACATTCGATTTACTTTTGAAAACTAACATTAGGTTTACGTCAGTTTTCTAACATTAGGTTTACGTCAGTTTTCTAATGTTAGATTTACGTTAGTTTTCTAATGCTAGATTTACGTTAGTAAACTAACGATAAATTAACGGTTAAACTTCTGACATAAATCTAACGTTACATTAACGGTTAGAATCCTGACATAAAACTAACATTACTTTTACCTTAGAATACTAACCATTAACTAACGGTTAGAAACCTGGTGTAAAATTTACGTTAGATTAACGTTCGATTTATAACCAAAAATACTTATGTCATTATCAGTTGTTAAAATGTATATACACTGGTATGGTTATTTAATTGACAAATATTCAAAGCGAAAAAAATTGGTAAGATAACCGTTATAAAATTTACGTTAGATTTACGTCATTTTCTGACATAAAACTAACCATAATCATTCTGACGTATTAGTAACGTAAATTTAACTATCAAATTATACCATTATTGGACGCTAACCATAATGACGTAAACTTTAAGTAAATCTAACCATCGTAAAATCGGACCAAAACTGGCATGATTTTTATAATGGTAAAAGGCCAGTTGTTAATTATGACGATCTTCAATCAGCCATTATTTAATAATCCACAGATTGTATTAACAAAACTTTATATTTAGGTGATTTTATAGAAGCCGGTTTAGTCCAAATTTCTGATCTGTGTTATATTTTTATCTCGGGGTTTTTATCAGTTGACGCTATATTTGAAATGGTTAGAGAATCGTTACCAGATTGTAAATTTGAGAAAATTGAAAAACCATATAACTTGATTCTTAAATGTTTGCCAGTGTCCTGGAATAAAAAAAAAATCGCTCTGAGAGTGATATTATACGCTATGAATCAGATTTTGAACTTATTATTAATAAGTACGTTTTCGGTCTATACGTTATTCAGAGATACGAATTTTGAACCCCCTGTCTGCGAATCTTATTGGTAGCACCAAGGGTACGACATCAACTGGCCAGTGGTCTGGAAGTCTGCTTTTACTATAAATAAAAATTCAGAATCTTAAGATAATGATTATAGAATTTTATCACCCAATAATACATTCTACAGTAGATATCGCTTGTGTGATATATTTCACAATCTACTGCGATATTGGTCAGTTGAAAAGGAACTACTTTTTTTTTATTTAAGAACATTTCTTATAATTTTTTTTTAATTAAAAATGAACTATTGTTATTCAATTTACCTTGATGGAAACACTGGGTCAATATAAAGGACTTTGCAATGGTTGAATTGCTGTCAAAAAATGATGTATCACTACGCCGTAATGTTCAGTAAAAGTGAAATCTACAGCAAAGAATTATATTTATCTATTTGTGCATGTAAGAAGGGATTGGGTGATAAATAAAATCTACTACTCGTCTTTTTTGATATCAAAAAATATCAACACTCGTTGATAAAGTAAAAAAAAAACTCGGCAGAGCCTCGTTTTTTGTTACTTTATCAACTTGTGTTGATATTTTTTGATATCAAAAAAGACTGGTAGGAGATTCTCTATGTACACATTATTTGGACCAATGAGAAGCTTCATAATATTGGTAAAATAAATAATCCTTATTGAAAATTCTGTGATAAAGATTCTATTGAAAATTTAGAGCACATGTTTTATAGATTGCAAATCTGTTAAGAATTTGCATGAATGTATTTTAGATTTTAGGTGTTTTTCCAATCCTCGGGTTTTGGACTAATTGATTTTCGTCGGTGGTTACTGTTTGGCTATCCTATGCTAAATGAGGACAATAACCTGTTTTTAATTTTTATTTTCTCGTTTGCTAGATTAGCTATTATCAAACGGAGCGTTGTAGATTTGTGTATATTTAAAACACAATTAACTAAACACATAAATTACTGTACTTGTATCAATAATATGTCAACGCACGTATGTATGCAATAATTGTTTTATAAATTAAATGAAATTAAAAAAAGCACGCTTAAATCCGCATAGTATAACCGATTGGCCAGTGTAAGTCGGTTTGTCTCCATGGCAAAGTTTACATACCTGCAAGCTTACATCTGAAAGCCTCTAACCGGTCCAATCACTGACGAGTAGTAGTGGCTTGTGATACCTTGCGCTCGTCTCTTGATTAGGATATTCCGTATTCTTATGAGCGGAAAGGGGTTGCGTGTAAAGATTGTCTGCGATATCACTTCGGTGGAAGCGGACGTTAAATAAAGCTATTTCACACACGCGTATGAAGTCAATGGTTAATTCAATGGCATATGTATCACTTTCATGAAACTTAATAACCAGGGGGGGGGGGGGGGGGTCTGTATTTGAAAATGGAATTTGTTAACTGAAGGAATTACTGTAAATTACAGGAAAAACAAATACGGATAAAATTTTGCGGGTAATTTTTTTTCCGTAATTTTGTACGTTTTTTCACGGTTTTGTTTTTTTACAGTGTAGTAAGAAAAGAGTGCACGGGTTATACGTAGGATGTGGCGACCGAATTTGCTCGGCCGCTTTCCACGTCTGACAAACGACCAATGGTACTACGAGATATTTCAAGATAATACCAACTGTCATTTGAAGACGCTTCCTTTCAATACTAAATAAGTCATTTATTTGAAGACGTTACATTTTAATTAGAAATTTCAAAATAAACCAGTCCGAATAATAACAGACTAAACCAAACGAACATATGACACCAATTCTGAAAGATCTCCATTGGCTTCCAGTCCGTCCACGCATCAGTTTTAAAATACTATTACATATCCTGCTATGTATGACATTAATACCTTATACAACTTCTCAACATTTATACCCCGCGGCCCAGAACCCTTCGATCACACCTTCTCAACATTATTTATTATATTATTGCAGAGTGTTCGCCGGCAGAGAGAATCAGAAAAATATGGGTGCTAAAAGCCGATCTAAAATCGATCTTAATATCGTTGATGTTAGAGGTAAACCATTAATATCCAATATTTTCAGAGGAAAAATCATACAGTTGAGGGCCACATTTGAAGGTGAGTTTAAAGTCATATTAGGGAGGCTTTTATTCCTCTTATCGTAGGACGTGGGATGCACAGTGGCAAGTTTGTGGTAACATGACCCACAACCTGATTTGTCATTGAAACAATATTAAATCTGCCTGTCTTTTGAGTACTCTACTTCTTACACTTCACTGCTGTAGCAAGTTTTTGTGTTCAGTGGATAACGACGTTAAGTTTTTGAAGCATTGTGCAGCAGGGCTCACACTGGCTTTATTTTTTTTTTACCGCCAAAATGGATCACAATTTTTATATAAAAAAATTGATATTTTTTATCCGCCAAAAGTTTACGAAAAAACAAAATTGTCAAAGTGTAAAACAATTTTATTTTGCATATATTAAAATATCATACACAATTTACAAAATTTTATTTCGGATCTATTATTTAATTATCATACACAATTTACAAAATCCTCCTTTGCTTTACATTAGGCCAATTGATAAATTACTTTTGAAGATTTGGTTGATTTTTAGTTAGTGATGGACATTAAATTTGATAAAGTATCTGGTTTTAAACATTTCCTACTGACCGTTTTAATTAAGTTTTGTTTACTGAACCCCCGTTCACAATCAAAGTTGCAACTGGTATACACAATAATCTACTTGCAATTTTATATACATCAAAAAAATATTTATTTTCTTTTAGAGTAAGTTTTAAGACATCAATGCTGTCTAATCAACATGTTTTAAATAATTCCTGAATGATACAATATCTGAAACAGTCATTGATGTCGAGATCAGTTGTTTGAAAATAATTAGGTTTTTTCTAAAATTAGTTGGATTATGCAATTTCACATAGTTGTATTGTTAGCAACTGAATTTAAACTCACTGTTTTAATTGGTAAACAACCTGAACCAAGTTTTAATCTGTGAGTATTTCAGGCACAAAACCAATCAACAAAAGCGGGGTAGCAGGGCTGGTCAGACCAAACAAAGGCTGATTAAAACTATTAGCAATGTGAGAAAACATTTGAATGACTTTTCAACAAGAGGTGTAAATTATGATAACCACATTGAATTACCTACTGACTCGAATAACATTGAAGTGATTGTCACAAATAGAACACAACTCCAGGTTTTAAGAACAAGTGTGAATTTTGCAAATCTTTTTTCAATTTCAAGGATTTCAGTATTTGATAACAATAAAGTATCTGTTGCGCTTTGGAATGTCCGTTCTATCTGCAATAAACTGCCAGCTTTAGCATCTTCCTTTTACGAAAACAAGACAGATATTTGTTTTATCACCGAGTCCTGGTTATCCAGCTCCCCGAAGGGTGAGTGTGTGAAAAATAAACTTTGTTCTCTAGTTTCTGGTTATGTTTACAGTCGACCTAGGACATCTTCCATGGACTTTGGTGTTGCTGTCATTGCACGTGATAACCTGAATGTGAAGGTAAATAGGAACCATCAACAAATTTCATCGTTTGAATCAACGGACCTGTCTGTCATGAAATGCCACGCCTCCTAGTTGTGAACCGACCCCCCACCGTCAAAAAAGAATGGGCTGTCTCGCTACCTGTATGGCTTATTCTTGTTGATTTTAATTTTCATATTGACAACTCCAGCTGTCCAGATGGCAGGAAATTCCCCAATCTACCCGACTCATTCGGGCTTGTCCAACACGTAATTGGTCCAACACACTCCAAGGACACACCCTCGATCTTGTCATTACGAGGTCGTCGCAGAAATACCTCATGAACTTTGTGTTTGACAATACCCTGCCCTCAGATCACAGCTTGGTGAACTTTGTACGTGACGTTAATCGTCCGCGGCCTAAGAAAACCAAGCGCGAAACCAAAAAACTTTCATCTGTTGACGCCGACGCTATCAATACAGCCATGGACTGTGGACCATTGAAGCCAATGTCGGATGCTAGCGTTAATGAATTGGTTAGACTACAGTGACAGATTGAGTAATCTTCTTGATAATCTCGCCCCGCTTAAAACCAAAGTTTTACAAGACAAACCGCGTGCTCCATGGCACAATGTCATTCACCAAGACAAGGTTGAACTGCGGCGCCTGGAACGAAAGTTCAAGGCCAATCCCTTAGAAATCAACCGACTGATTTTCCATGACAAGCCGTCGGCACACAATCGCCTAACAAACGCTCGTAATTCGTATCACCGCAACAAGATCCAGAACGCCGATCAGAAGCAACTCTTCCAAATAACCGATGACATTATTGGCGAAAAGAAGTCATTGGCTGCTACTTTACCAGACCACACAGGTCCACAGGCGCAAGCACAATCGTTCTCAGATTTCTTCACACAAAAAGTTTGAATGCTACGAAATTCACTGGACTCCATACCAAGTCAATATGTTTTAATTGCGTCTTGTGTCAACAATGTTCACTTGATCCATTTCCCACTAGTCACCTGAAATTGTGTATTCAACATTTTCTTCCTCGCCTTACACAAATAATCAACACGTCATTTGATAACGGACAGTTTCCTTGCGAATTTAAGCACGCCATTGTTCGGCCACTACTGAAAAAGCCAGGATTGGTTTCTAATGTACTAAAAAATTATGGTCCAGTTTCGAACTGCCCTTTTGTCGGCAAACTCATTGAAAAATGTGTAGCTAGTGATCTTGATAACCATCTCAGTGAGTTTTCTTTATATTCAAAATTCCAATGAGCCTATAGAAAGTACCATAGCACCGAGTCTGATTTACTCAGAGTACATAATGATATCATGCTAGCCCTAGATGGTCATTCGGAAGTTATTCTGGTATTGTTAGATTTGTCAGCTGCTTTTGATACCATTGATCATTGCATTCTAATGGAGACACTTCAGAAACGGTTTGGTATCAAAGGCGTGGCCTTAAAGTGGATGGAATCTTACTTGCGTGATAGAACTCAAGAGTGTTGTCGTTAATGGTCACAAATCAGTATCCGCTTCTCTTGAATTCAGTGTACCACAGGGGGTAGTGTCTTAGGTCCGCAATTGTTCACTTTACTGCACTCCTTTAGAGGACAATATTTTTAGTCACAGTTTGGATTTTATGCTGTACGTTGATGATACTCAGTTGTATTTTACATGTAAGAATGCTGAAGTTTCAAAGGTTGCAATTGAAAAATGTGTTGATATTCGTGCGTGGGTGCTTGCTAACAAACTTGTACTTAATGATGGTAAAACTGAAGTTATACATTTTCATTCTCAGTATAGATGTTGTGATAAATTAAAAACGATACGAATTGGCAATGAGTAAGTTCTTCCATGTTCGGCTGTCTGGAATTCATCACCTCACGCCTTGATAACTGTAATAGTCTTTTGCATGATCTCTATCTTAGCTCGCTAACTAAACGTCTCCAATCTATCCAAAACTCTGCTGCGGGACCCATAACACGCACCCGTAAGAATGAGCATATCACCCCTATTCTCCACGATCTCCACTCGTTACCTGTGCACAGCCGCACTGAATTCAAAATTCTCACTTTCTCTTATAAATGTCTCAATCAGCTTAGCACCACCTTATCTGTCTGATCTTTTAACAGAGTTCCATATATGTTTTTATGTCATGTTTTCATGTCATATTATATGTTTTTGTACTACGCATTGGGATTGTTTTTACGATGTAATGCGTATAATAAGAAATAAATATTACTATTATTAAATGTGTAGTGTACAAAAATTTAAAGCAAGTTATGGATTTCGACAAACCAACACCGATATTAGACTTGAATAGTTTCTCAGTAATGCATTTACAGATCCCTCAAATGATAGCCACCTCGTATTTGATATTTGTTTAAATCGGCATTAGCATTAACAACAGCAGGAATTTCCTGGATTTTTTCAAGTCTGGACAGGTTTTTAGGTGAATTTGAAAAATATTTGTAAATGCAATTAACTAGTTCCTGATATTTTATGAGGTATGGTATAGAATCTGCAGCACCTGATGAACATAGGGCAAGTCTATGGGCAATACAATGGGTACTTGTCTATGGGCAATACAATGGGTACTTAACAACCCCGGAACCATTTCCTTAAATCTTGTCAACCCACTCTTACTACCAACCATAACTGCAGCACCATCAGTAGCAATTCCACACATTTTCTTCACATCAAGATTATTTTCGAACAATAACTCCGACTATTCATTGAGAATTTTATCGGCAGTTGCACAATCTGAAGGTTTTCTGATCCCCAAAAAGTATGTCCTAATATCATTACAAAATATATATCAAACATACTCTATCAAATTTTGATCCACTGACACATCGGTTGATTCATCTAATAAAATACTGTAATATGATGATTGACTCAGGCGTTGGCGAAGATCTTCACGTACTGTCTTCTAATGCTTTCCGAAATTCTTGTATACTGCCTTTATGTGTATAAGATGTGTGTTTATCTACCAGCAAGTCTTTGAATTGTCCAGCACCCTGAAAAACAGGAAAGAAAAATCTAAATGAAAGGGAGAAAAGCAGACCGGTATATTTGTGCTCTATGGTGAACTTATCTAAGTAAATTAAAGTATGGTAACTTACCTGTTGTAAACAGAGTGTATTCAAATTGGTCAGTAGCAAGTTGGGTAAATCATGCTCTGCCATGAACAGGACATTTCTCATGGCTGATAAAACAGCTTCTTTTGATTTTGACACTGATTTCTCTCTGGTCCTGGCCATGTCATTGCCATTTCCAATACTAGCCAATGCTGCTTTGTGGACCTAAAAAATAATAAAGTTAAGGGCAAGGTAAAGTGACGCCATTTTGTCACAACACCTGAAATAGGGGGTTCTCAAAAAGGGATTTACACCAGCTTTAATGCAAATATGTTGGTATCTACATGTGCCTGAGATGATACAGAACAATAAAAAATGGATGGAAATCCAAAATAATGACTTTGAAATCAAATATTTACCAAATAATGAAGCAAATTCCTAAGTCAAGACTGCGCAGCTACAAGCTTTATAAAAAAAGAACACAGGAAAATTAAACTGGCTAAAAGTTCCTCAGATAATCAAACTCCAACCA